TAGCAGTACCCGCGGCTTCGCCCGCATACAAACTTCCGATCGCTAACAAAATTCACAGGATCACCCGCTGGGCTAATCTGAATATTACCTGAAAAGTTCATCAAAATCGCTCCAGCTGTTTTGGAGTCTATAGAAAACATAAATACACACATCCATTTTTATTTTATTCAATTAATAATTTAAATGTATTTATTGCTCAGAAAATGAAATCTTTTATGAAAATTTAGTGACACACTAACTACAGCGCCACGTACCGGGTACATTTTATTTTCAAACCTTATCGGGTCCCTGGACCCACTGGAACATACACAAAAAATATCATTAAAGTCGTCCCTGCCGTTTAGGAGATGATCAGTGGCACATCGACTACAGCGCCACCTACTGGGTCCATTTGTATTTTCAAACCATCCAGGAACCCATTGAAATATACACAAAAAATTTCTTCCAAATCGGTCCAGTTCTTTAGGAGGAGTAGATTAACAAACACACGTACAAAAGAATTATATATATTAAGATATATTGAAATCCTTACATAATTCAATTATTATTTATGAAACTGATTTTTAGGGTCGGTTAGCTTGTTTGTTAGATTAATCATCTTTTATGCAAACTACCTGAATTACAACGCGTAACACGATATATTTCATCGAGGTCTGTATAAATATAGGTCTGATTTATGTATATTATAAGCTATATATATATATATATATATATATATATATATATATATATATATATATATATATAATCATTAAAGTACGCGCAAATTAAAATTAATGCGTGTCGAAGTGAGAGATTTCTCTATCAATCCTTTCAAATGTTTTAAATATTCGTGTAAAATACGTTTCAAAAAGCAAATAGATTTATTGAAAAATGTAAATTCCCAAGCTAGCGGCAATTTTTACTCAGTTGTCTTTGGACTGAAAAATTTCCGAACAAATCCAGTTTTTCTTAACATTTCCTCGTGCAAAATAAATAATCTTCAATCAAATAAACAAACCTCTAGATAAAAATTCTCTAAAAGTAATTTTGTTACTATACACACGTTTGCTTTTATTCTGTTGGTACGTTTTAAATAAGGGTTTCAATTTAAGTATATAATGAGTAGGAATGAATTTTGCTGTTAATTTTTAAGAAATTTACTATCAAATAATAACAATAAAATGTAATTAATAATAATAGAAATAAAATAGTTGACATGAGATCTAGAATGAGTATTTTTTTAACTTCTTCTAAAGATTATAATCTATATAAATAAAAATGAATCACCGAAATGTATGTACGCGCATAACTTCTGATCGACTGCACCGAATTGGATATTTCTTTTTTTGAGTTTGTTATTGTCAGGAAAAGCTGTGTATACAAGAAAATTGAAAAAAAAATAAAAACTTTTTAACAAAAAAATAAAAACCGACTTCAAACAAAAGCACTAAAAAGTAAAAAATAACTGATTGGTAGTTTTCATTTACTATACATACCTAATCAAATAATTTTCGAAGTGGCGGTGTGCTTTGCTTTGTATGGGCTGGCACCGATTTCGAAAATATTTGATTAGGTATGTATTTAATAGGTAGGCTTTAATTACTTAGCCATGGACGAATTGTGGTTAATTCGTTCATGTACTTAGCCAAAGCACACCGACTTCGAAAATATTTGATTAGGTATGTATAGTAAATGAAAACTACTAATCAGTTATTTTTTACTTTTTAGTTCTTTTGTTTGAAGTCGGTTTTTATTTTTTTGTTAAAAAGTTTTTATTTTTCCCTTTTTAGTGTAGACAGTAGTAGCAAAGTAAGAATTCTAACGTGTTAGGCTTGTCGAATCAAACAAAATAAGCCCAATCTCAAAGTATCTACTATTAGCCGTTGAAGAGTTCCACCTATCCACCTTCTGGCCTTACCATCAGATCAGGTCAACAATACCAAACCACTGTACTATCAACGGAAATAGAAACACTTGCAAAGTTTCAAGTCAATATGACAATTAGAAGTAGGTTAAATCCATCATTAGCTATTTTTCCACTCTTAGGGGTGGTTTTTTTTTATTTTAAATGGGACCAATCTGGAAGTATACCCTTTCAAACAAAACAAAAATTGTCCAAATCAGTTAATAAATGACGAAGTTCTGAGGTAACAAACATAAAAAAAAATACAGTCGAATTGAGAACCTCCTCCTTTTTGAAGTCTTTTTTTTTAATCTCTTGATATGAAAAGTGAGTGAGTGAAATAGTTTTTATCCCGGAAATCATTCCCTAAGGGGGTGAGAATGGGGTTGAAACTTTGTATGGGAAAGCAAGCTAGAGACAAACCCGAGGGAAGCGAAGGTGAGTTGCTCGTATTAATACAAAATCAAAATCTAGGTACCTAACGGTAAAGTACTACATCTTTTATACCTCTTACACTGTAAAGATAATGAAACTATCATCTTAAAGAGTCATATTTTAGAGATAGATAGTTTTATGTACAGTTCTTACCGCACCATTATAGCTGAAGTCAACATTACTTAGCATAAATCAAGTTATAAAACGCTGAGCTTCTGGTATATAATTTTGGTTCATATTTCTTAAGACGTCTTTTCTTTATAGCAAATTTTAACTTTGAGGTCTTGTTAGTTATTTTATGTTACGCTTCAAATATTGTTAGGAGTTATGAATTGTAAATCAAAGGCTGTATAAGAATAAACTATTGTATAAGAATTGATTAACTTCTAAAGGAAAACTTTCCACGAGATGAAATATCTATATAAATAAAAATCAATTGCCAAATGTATGTAAACGAACTATTTCAGAACAGCAGCACCTATTTGGCTCCCCCCCAACGTGCGTTCACCTTGTCGTGGTGGGGGGGGCTCAGTAGTGCCCGGCAACCCAACCGGGCGCGAAGCCACGAAACGCACAGGGAGGTGGCCCACTTCGGTGGGCGGTGGGAGGTGGCCCTCTTCAGAGGGCAGTGTACCATGCGGGTTGCTCCTGGTACTTCTCTGATAGCAGAGTGGACTGTGGAGCAACCCCGTGGTTGTTGTGGTCTGCTTCGGCAGACCTGCCGTCGGGGCGTCGTAGTTGAATGCGTAAGCGATCCTGCGACGCCCCATTAAGACGGAGGAAGGTTTTGTTGGGTTTTAGTGGGTAGTACTGGCTTTGCCGGTGAGTCCCACACCTCGTGCGTAAATGCATTTCCCAACGTTAAAAAAAAACCTATTTGGCTTATTCTTTTTTTGTTGTGTTTGTATTTATAAGGTAAGGTTTGGGTGAAAGAAATATTTGACAAATTGTACGGAAAAGTGACGAACGAAAAGTAAACCTGTGAGTTGACAGATTGACGTTCAGTTGTCCAGTTTCTTCATCATGACAACAATAATTAAAAAAGAATTTGACCGTTTTGTCAAATTGGAAGATAATTATATTTATCTATACTAATATTATTAAGAGGTAAAGTTTGTGAGTTTGTAGGAGGTAATCTCTGGATCTACTGAACTGATTTAGATGAAATTTGTTAATTTGTTAGTTTGAGACCCTGGGAAGGATATAGAATACTTCTTGTCCCGGAAATCACCTTAAGGGGGTAAAAATAAAAGTTTGTATTGGGAAGCAAGCTAGGGACGAACCCGAGCGAAGCGAGGGTGAGTCGATAGTCAAATATATATGTAATGATGTTAGGTGACACTAAAAAACATAAAGTTCATGTTTTAGGCACTTTAAAGCTCACTCTAGCGAAGTAAGAGTAAGTCACTAGCTTATTACAGTTTCTTCTTTCTATTTCTCTAACAATCCTATAATATGCGAAAGACACCAAGAGATAGAAAAAAAGAATGAGAAAAGCATCGAAAAGAAGAAGAAAAAGAAATAGGGAAAAATACAAACATACACACTCCTAACTACTCCTCACTCCACATAGTCTATCTGCGTACTAACAAATCAAATCCGTTTAGTCCAGGAGTAATATACACACGCACGCACATACATGAGTATGAAATCTTTTTCATTAAATAGGTTACTAAATAAAAACAAAATCTAATAAGTATTTGTAGTTACAGAGATTATCACGTTCAAATAAACAAACATAAATTCACTTTAAAATATTAGTATACTCGTACATACCGATATTGTTTGGAAACGCTCTACGGTTTGAATTTACTAATAAGAGAAAATTAAAGCTGAAATGCTTTCAATGGGGTATTGCTAGTTGCAACGTGAATATCCTTTCGATCGGAACCACTGATACGTAATAGGCAATCTCATCATGTAATAGATGAGCTATCCAATACAGTGTAATTGAAAATTAAGCAATCATTGTTCGATTTAATCTTTATTAATGGATTCGAGAGTTTCTTTTATTATCAGATTGTGGAGAACATAGAATATTTATGCATAATGTTTCTGTATAAGTTTTAGAATAAGAATTCGTGTATTTAGCCCTTCTCACCGTGCCACTGCTGGGCACGGTCTCACCGTGCCACTGCTTCGGCCACGGCTTCCCTTCAATACGAGAGAGATTAGGCCATAGTCCACGCTAACTAAATTCCAGTTGGTATACTTTACTTCATATCTTGCTAGGTTAGGTAGCCCTTGAATTTCGATTCGAAAATTTGAATTTGAAAATCGATATTTATGTTCTTTTTATTAATTGATACTAATATTATACAGAGGCAGCGTTTGTTTGAACGCGCTAATCTCAGGAAATACTAATCCTTACTAAACCTAAACTGTTCATTGAGGAAGGAATTATCATGTAATATATAGTCTATCTATTCATACTAACCGTTAAAACTTAACAAGGGACGAAATCGGCGAGTCGCTAGTAAGTTATACTTTGGATTAAAAAATAAATCACTCTTAAAGGCGGATAAACTTTTAAATTTATTTTAAAGGCAGTATATCTTTTTAGATAAAAAATTCTTCATTTCTTCCTTTTTGAAGATGTTTTAAAATAAAATTAGAACCATTAACCCAAACTTTAAAATTTTAAACTAAACGATAATGAGACCGACAAATTCGTGTACTAACGGTAACGGTATTCTAATTTTTGTAAAGCAACTAATATAAGCAGCACCGCTGTTGGTTGCCTGCTATTAGCTTGAATAATTTATATTTTTGTACCACAGAGCTCAAACAAGAGAAGATTCTTACGAAGAAAATATTATACAGAAACTAGTGACTCACTCTCGCTACGCTTGGGATATAAAAACATACAAAGAACATTTTTTTTAATGGGACAGAAACTTTCACGGGCGCATGCATAACAACTCACCAAAGTCTCATTGCAATCTGACGAATGGTTTAGGAATATATATAGAATAAAGATACAAAAAAACATTTACAAACAACAACAGCAAGACGTCCACTGCTGGACATAGGCCTTCCCCACAGATTTCCACGACTGCCAGTCTCGTGCCATCCGCATTCAGTGGGTTCTAGGGACTACGGCCAAGTCGTCGGTCTACCTTGTGAGAGGTCTGCCCACGCTTTGCCTTCTGTTACGCTGGTCTAAAAGAAATATGCGATCTGATCTAAATGAAGTATGTGACTGAAATTCGGTTGGAAGACTTAATTTATTACTGCGCCTCCACCGGCATATATCATATACTAAAACCTTCTCCGAAATACGCTGCATCTTATGATATGAGTATTATTCCGATTGGTTTAGTAGTTATCGCAGTATAACCGAACAAAAAAACTGGCTCTCCATTTATTACTATAGATTTTTATTATTTCAATAATCGTACTTAAATTTCAAATTGAGTTTGTAGTTTGTTACATATGATATATTCCGAGCCAAAATTACATATTGGCTGTGTAAAGGCAAGTTTTCTACCTAAATCCTTCGTGAAATAGCATATCGATTTCTGCTAATACTTGTAATTGTAATAAACTCAGAAGATATTGGGCTAAATTTATCTTATTTATTTATTCATTGGGGAATTCTCTCTCCTGACAGCCAGCCCTTCTAATTAAGGTTTATTAAATTTATTTTGATGAGTCTAATTCATACTTAGTTACAGATGTCTAATATTGTAGAGTAAAAGATAAATATACAGGTTGGATTTTTGAGATGGGACATTAAAGGTAGGTACCTTAACTGCTATAATTACAGGAAAACGTTCCTAGGAGACCATCCATAACTTTTTGAGATATTCTGAACTGCATTCACAGATTTTGGAAAAATGTACAGTGTGCGGAAAAAATGCTAAAATACAAGAAACATTTTTGATGTCAATCGATCCTATTTTATGTAGGGATCAAAAAACTCTATGGGACCATTTAAGGTATAGGAGTACTAGATATGACAGAAATAGGAGTATAGGAGTACTAGAAATGACAGAAATCGCCAAAAACTTTTCTTTTTTTTAAATTGTACGGAAAAACAATTAATTAACTCGAAATATTCTTTGTTGCCAAACGGTCCTATACGGTATAGCCGTTATACTTCAAAATTTTAAATTGGAAATTCTTTTATATTGCGAAAATTTGTATGTATTTGTATGTTTGTTCCTGTTTCACATTTAAATGGCTCGAGATATTTATTTGAACCTAACAAAACAAACTAATGTATAAAGGTAGGTTATGACTTGGACTAATACATAGGCGAAGTGAGGTTAAGTTGCTAGTTATGTTTATGAACTACTTTAAAATACAGTGGTAGCTCTGTGGTAATGCGCTCGTTAGGAAAACCGAGTGAAGCGGGTTCGATTCCCGGGTCTCACACCTCTGTTATTTTTATGCGTGGATCATTTTCAATATGCTTGTTATTTGACTTACAGCGAAGGAAAACATCGTGAGGAAATCTGAATATCTGATAGAACCTAGTAATTTTTCAAAAGTCCACCAAGCGGTGGTATATGACCTGATCTCCCTTATATTGGAGAGAGGCACGTGCTTAGGTAGATAATTTGGTCTACAAATAATACTTTTGATAAGTAATAAAGTTAAACAACCCAAAATCAGATTAGATAAGTAAAATTTGAATAATGCACTATATCTACCCATCAATATTTTAGACTTCGTTAAAAGGGGCTTAATACATACTTTAAAACGCAGATAAAGTCCCAGAAACTTCTTAGTTCAACACAAAACAGGCGATACAACGCCAATATGTTACATGACAGCGTTGTATTGATTCATGCTACGGCAATATAATATTTTCCATTTACTCGGCATTTCAGATTTTATCGTTATACTAAAATATATTTTAAACTTGAAAATTCTTTGAAAGAAACTAAAAGAACATGTGTACATTGTACATATATTTTATTCATTTATATTAACATCAAAGTAAGTTTTGGAGCAATTTTTTTTTTTTTTTTTTTTTTTAATCTTTAATATTTAAAGGTCTTTGAATCTCTTGAGATTATGCCAGACCTATCGTATCACAAAAACATATATTCATCTATATAGCTGTTGCTTCCTTAAATATTTTTATCATTTCATTAAAAACTAATTTAGCTTGTTCTGTTACAGGAGTAGCAAGTATGCTATGAAATCTACCAACATCTTTAACATTAAAATTAAAATTTTTAATCAAATTATTTCGCAAGGCTTCGCTTCGGGTACACTCCACTAAAATATGTTGTACATCTTCTATGATGTCACAAGTACGACAATTAGCTGATAATGTTTTTTTTCATTAAAAACTTAAACTTATTCAGGGGTATATGCCCAGACCGAAGCCTATGCGCCATTACAATTACTTCCCTACGCATTTTACAATCTATAAACCAAGGTGTAGGACGAGGTTGTTTTTGTATAGTACTGTACCAGATTCCTTTAACCTTTGAGACTTCACTAAAGTATTTGATCCAATTATTAAAGATATCAATTTTACATTTAATCAAAATTTCTGTAAAATCCGGTACAATATATATTTCAGATCCAGTCGAAATTGCCTCTTTAGCTATTCTATCGGCTTCCTCATTCCCACTTAGTCCAATATGCGCCGGTACCCATTGCAATCTGACAGTCAGTCCGTTATTAGTGAGAAGTAAAATTTTTCTCATAATTGCATAGGCTATCGATACACCTCTTTGACCAGAGGCGCATCGAGCCAAATGCTGCAGCGCACATTTGCTATCTGATAGAATAACTATATTTTTAGTTTCAATGTTATTATCAATATATGTTAATGCCTCTGAGATTGCAAGGAGTTCGGCGGACATAATTGTCACATTTGATGTAATTTTATATTTCTGTTTCACATTGTGACCAGGATCATAAAAAGCTGCTCCTAAACCGTTTGTTGTTTTCGACCCATCAGTATATAATTTATACCACCCTTCATATTTAACAGCAAGCATATTAAGTGTACAGTATTTTAACATAGTATTCATGGTATTATACTTAGAGCCAGTAAAGCCTTCTATTTCAGTAGATATAATGTTTATATCTATGTTAGTTTCCGAGGTATTCGAAACACAAGATTTAATTCTCTCCTCTTTGAGTGAGTTATATACATTTGCAAGTAATGGTTTCTTCTTTTTCTGCCAATAACGGTTTTGACATACCTGAGTCAACTCTTTCAATAAAATAATGGTACTGTCTGTGTATGAGGTCATGGATTTAAGACAGTATTTACTAGCCAAGTAATGACGTCTAATATTAAGTGGAGGGATACTGAGTTCACATTCCATGACGTGCATAGGTGTAGTTTTAATAAATCCACCTATGATACGTAAGGCAGAATTCTGTACACGGTCTAGTTTTAATAAGTGTGTCTTGGCCGCACTATCATATAAAAAGCTACCATAATCCATTCTGCTGCGAATCAATGCAAAATACAATCGACGTAAATGTTTCGGATGAACTCCCCATGAGCTTCCTGCTAATATTTTCAATAAATTTAATGTTTTCATAGTTTTTTCTCTAATTTCATTAATATGTTTTTGTTCACTCTTTTTAAACCATATTCTTTTTACCATCTTTGTTTGTCTTTTTTTAATGCCATTTTACTTATAAGTTCTATTATTATCTATTTAATATGATATAATATTATTTATATATTTATGTACCCATAATATATTAAATATTATTATTATTATAAGTATTTTGTCTTGTATTAATCTTATCATATTTATGTAAATATAATATTATTATTATGTACATATGTATGTATTTTTGATATGTAAGTTTATTCATAGTATTAAAAATGAATTATTGTTATTATTGTATTATTATTATTATGGTTTTATTATTATTATTATTACTACTGTATAGTTCACACCCCTTCCCTCTTACAGTTTGTCAATTCCAACACCTTAAGGTTGCCTGGAAGAGATCGCTGTTTTAGCGATAAGGCCGCCTCTTGTACATAACTCTTTTTATATATTTCTTGTAATTTTTTTTCTTTTTTCTCTTGTGGGTGTACAATAAAGAGTATTTATTATTATTATTATTATGTTTATTCCAAAGTAATGATTTATCAATCCACATTCCTAAATATTTAAAGCAATCAACATTCTCAATATTACAATTATTAATTTTAAGGGGAACATGATCAATTTTTCTCCTTCGAGTAAAAGTACAACATTTAGTTTTCGCAGGTGAGACATCCAAACCGATTTGTTTCAATTTAATCACTACATTATTGAGACTAGTCTGTAACTCCGCGTTACCACTAATGAAGTTTTTATTTTGTATATAAAAAACAAAATCATCGGCATATTGCAAAATATTTACATTATTTATTCCAATGCATATCTGAGAAGTAACTATATTAAAAAGAAGAGGAGAAATTGGGTCTCCCTGAGCTAAGCCCCTATTAGTCCACCTAATTAGAGGTTGTCCACTATCACTAGTAATCTTAAGATATCTTCTACTCAAAAAGTGCCACAAATAACTACAAATTTTAACTCCAACATTTAGGTTATCTAAGATTAGAATAAGTTGCTCAACAGAAACATTATTATAGGCATTTTCGATATCTAGGAAACAAGCAAGTGTGGGGATATTTTTTGTCATTCCTATCTGTATATATGATACAGGTCGTACCAAACAGTCCACGCATGATTGTCCCTTTCGAAAACCGATAGTTGATGATGATATCACCTTCTTCTGTTCTATAAAATACTCCAATCTTCTTTTCAACATTATATGATATATTTTACAAATGCATGAAATTAGAGAAATAGGTCTCAACTTTGGAGAATTATTAGAATTGGTGTTATGTTTTGGTATAGGTACTATTTTAATACTACGCCACTGTTCGGGAACACGAGATTGACTAAATATTAGGTTATACATTCGAAGCAAAAATGATTTACCTTCATTGGGTAAGTTGTATATCATACTGTAAGTAATATTATCATCCCCTGGAGCAGTATCCTTTTTCTTGAGACAATTTTGTAATTCTTCTAATGAAAAATCCTGCTGCAATGCTTCATTGTCCGAATGAAGTGTGGGTTGCGGGTATTCTGCATAATCTGGAGTCAGAGAATGTAAAAGGTCTTTTTTCATACTTTCAGTTATTTGAGAATACTTCGGTTTTACTCCTTTCATCCAACACATTTGTTCCACATAGTAGGAATGTCCGTAACTTCATCGATTTGTGTACAAAAACCTTGCCAATCATTAGTTCTAGCACGTCGAGTTAATCGTTGAGCATCTGCTATTTTTGATGTAAGTTTATCAAAATTGTTAGGGATAGGATTACGTCGAAATTTTTTTAAAGCCAAACGTCGTTCTGCTATAGCTCGAGACAATGAAGAATCCCAATATGTTTTTGGTTGAAATACCTGACTAGGATTAGTACATATTTTTTTAAAAGGTATACTTTGATCTCCGGCTTTGTTTATTTCGTCTATAAAATAATCATACATTTCTTGAACGTTGTTATATTCAGTGGGGTAACCAAGACTATTTTTCAATAAATTTTGATATTCTTGCCAATTTGCAAATTTGTAATTTCGACATTTAGTAAACGTTACATTACTTTGAAATTCCAAGGAGAACTTAATGATTAAATGATCACTACCTAAATTTTCATTTGTAGTTTCCCACTTAAAATGAACTGCAATATCAGATGTGACGAAGGTGATATCTGGCGAAGATGTCTGTAAAATATTGTTAACAAATTTAATTCTTGTGTGATTCCCATTATTAAGTGATATAAAATTAAAGTCTAATAATGCATCGTAGATTTGAAACCCTCTCGTGTTTTGTTTACATGACCAATTAGAATGGTGCCCGTTAAAGTCACCTGCTACTATGGATTTACATGAAAATTTAGAAAATAGTTGATCCCAGTCACATTGTGATGTTTGAACAGTAGGTGGACAGTATATTGATGTTATAAATTCTAAGTATTTACAATTAAAAATTTTTATTGACACAATTTCAATTCCCGGATTTCTTAATTCTACAGGATTACTACAACTTTTAATAGATTTATGAACTACAATAGCCACACCTCCATATGCATTACATCTATCACTTCTGTAGATAGTATAGTCTTTGAAATGTAAGGATATATCAGGATGCAACCATGTTTCACTCAGGATACAGATATGAATTTTTTCCCTATTTAGTAACAACTCGAAATCTTGTTTTTTCTGCCTTAAACTCTGCGCATTCCATTGACAAATGTTAATAGCATATTTCTTTAAATTACCGTTATCCATTGTATAATGCATTCAAAATTTTATTCACAAACTCTCCATCAGTAAAAGTCTTCTGAATAATGTGTTTTATCCATTCGAATAGAAATTTCACACTTAAGATGATTTTTTCTTCGACCGACTTACCAGATAATACAATATCTTTAAGTTTTGTTATTAGGGTTACAAAATTATTATTATTTTTTGTTTCACTCCTACTTTTATTCCTATCCTCGCTTTTCTTTTCTATTTCTTGATTTTCACTTTCTTCGATATGATTTACTACATTTTGTTGTTTTTGTGTTTTCTTATTTTTGTTGTTTTTCTTCTTCTTTCTATATTGTGTAGTATTTTCATTTGATTGAAAAGCGTTCTCCTCCAGAGTGTCATAGGTTTTATTTTCTTCATTTACAAATAGATCTACTCCTCTTTCATGTTGTGTTATACATGTTTCACCTACTATACTTTCTTGGCTAGACAATACTTCTTCTAGCATATCATTATTATTGGGTACTGATATTTCAGGATCGTTATTTTCATTGGCATATAATATAAGCGCTTTTTTATAAGTACAATTTTCCTTGCTCATGATGCTACGAATTTTCTTTTCTTTGAAAAAAATTGGACATCTCTTATAGAAAGATATATGATTACCTTTGCAGTTTATACATTTAAAGATAGTAGTATCACAATTATCATGCTTTTCACCACATTTGGGACACACCTTATGCTTTTTTGGGCAATTTTTTGCTAGGTGACCATATTTCCAACAGTTGGAACATTGTGTCACTGGGAAAATATAAGGCTCCACTTTAAACCTGCCACCATAACCGTATACATATTCAGGTAACGTAACACTCTTAAAGCAGAAGCGTACAGTTTCACTATCAATCCACTCTCCATTACTAGATTGTTTTTTAAGTCGTCTTACTGATACGATTTCTGACTGACAATTAAATGATTCTAGAAGTTCCTTTTCATCTACTTCAATCTCTAAATATTTAACCGTTCCGTAAGAGTAGCTTACTTCATTAGTTAAGTAAGATCGAAAACCTAAATCAGTAAATTTTCCACTTTTTAGCATCTTATCAGCTTCCTCTCGTGTTTCAAAATTTATAAAAACTTTGTACGGGTTCTTGTATTTAATTCTAGTAATATTTTGCAGGTTTTCCGACTTCAATAGTTTAACTAACCCAATTTGTTTAGGTAGTACATCGAGCGATGTCAAACAAACTTCATATTTATTTTCTTCTAAATATTTATATGCCCTTCTATCATTATGAGAATTACTTCGTGCTACTCGCTTTGCTTTCCTTCGTACAACTATAAAATCTTCCGCACTCTCCTCATCACTTTGTAATATTCCCTCATTTCGGTTCCTCTTCATACGCCTTGCATTGTCGGTCAATTCAGACATGTTCTGTATCGAATCTTCACATTCCTGTTGTCCCGCCATCAAACTATTACTCTCACACTGGTTTTCACTCAAATTGCTACTTTCAAAGATAGATTCTGTTGAAAGAACAGAACTATCCATTTTTAATTAACAAATGTCGGTACATTGAAAATAAATTTGCCGCGACGAGTACGATCTTATCTAAAAACGTGTTCTCGCTTGGTCTGACCGCGCGCGACTGTTTTGGAGCAATAAAAGGTTTTTTGGTTGTACTGGATATTGGGGTTTCGTCCACTCACTTTTGTATATATTTTTATGAATATTGAATATTTCTTAACTGCCTTTATGGTTTTGCCTATGTGGTCGAGCAACACAATTATTAAGCTCAATAGGTATTGGGTCAAGATCCCCATGGATCACGGTTAAATCAATTCTGAACTTGATCTTTTACCGATAAAGGATTACAGTTCCTCTGGACTAAAGTCACGCGTTTGCTTTAGAATATCTCCTGTAATAGTCTAGATCTGGTCATATAATTGGCGAATTAATATGAAATTCAGAGATTTAAGCATACCCTTATAAGGATGTGTTAAGGTGGCAACACATTATTTTAATATGATTGAGCTAATTTTGTCAAAAATATGTTATTTTTTTGCTTCTTATAACTGTGAGTAGTATTAATCAAAATACAAACTAGTTAAAAATACAGCTTTAGGTAAAAATACAGCTAAATATATCTATAAAGTCTACACATTATCTAGGTCTATCTGTAACCTCAACGTCGTCTAAATGCATTCAGCCCTTTCAGGGTGAAGGAATAACAAAAATACAAACTTTCGCATTTCTTATAGAATGAATTTGAATATGAATTTGAGACCCTAGGAAGGACATAGGATAGTTGTTAACCCGGAAACCTAGAGACGAACTCAAGCGAAGTAAGGATGAGTCGCTAGTTTTAAATAAAAATAAATTTTAAGCAATTCAAGCAAACTTTTAGAATCCAAACTAAATGATAATGAGACCGAAGCAAATTCGCACACTAACGGGTACGGTATTCTAATTTAAACTACACCGCTGTCGGTTTTCTACATTAGCTTGAATAGTCTAAAATTTTCTATCTATCCTGAGTAGTTTAAAATTTTATGTCCAAGCATCTAGTCGAAACCTTACTTCTAAGCTTACTCTGGCCGTAATCCTTATACATAAATCATTACAAATTAATCAAATATTAATAATTATATATTTTCTATTAAAACACTCAATATATAAAAAATTAACCTTACACAATATAAATATAAATTTTAATTAATATTTAGAATTGATTACGAATCTACACACACTCGCCATATTTCTTACAATACAAAAAATAAAATGTACATATATATTTTCCTTCACAAAATTGAACCTTTATTCATTGGCCTATTTTCGTTAAAGGAAAGCAAATATTAATATTTTGTATAAGTAAATACTCCATTTTAAAGTGAAGATATGAGATATATTGCGATAGTTAATCAATAACCGATGTTTTATTTTTGTAGAGCTTAAACAAAAGAAGCGAAATAATAATTGCGGGCTTCATAAATTTAAATTAAATACCTACTATCGCCGAAGGCCTATATTTATCTCGTAAATACTAATTACACATTGTATTATCATACAGGTGTGTGTATGTTCGTAATTGGTCTGCTATTAAACGGCTGCGTGGTGCGTGCGTGCGTGCGTGCGTGCGTGTGTGTGTGTGTGTGTGTGCGTGCGTGCGTGCGTGCGTGCGTGCGTGCGTGCGTGCGTGTGTGCGTGCGTGCGTGCGTGCGTGCATGCGTGCATGCGTGCGTGCGTGCGTGCGTGAGTGCGTGCGTGTGCGTGCGTGTACGTGTGTGTGTGTGTGTGTGTGTCGTGTTTGTGAGTAACACATAGACTAGGTAATATAATAAATGTTAGGAACCTAGGGACGCGCCCTAATCAATCAATACAATGATAACTCGGTTGTTATTCAACAATGTACTTACGTACGTACATTCAAACATTCGCATTTATATATGTAAGTATTTATTTAAATCAGATAACTTAACATTATATTGCAAAGCGCCTTGTTGTTCTTTTCCCTTGTATAGAATTTAATAAAGTGTAGAGCTTCTATTTCAGTAAGCTTTAGGTCCTGAATAGCAAGTACCAATTTGTCCCTCACTAACTCAATATCGAGGGTACTTTTAAAATACTTTGAAACACTATTGCTATCATATAGGATACTTTAGCGTAGTTTTATTTTGTGGCTTGTTTGATATAAAATTTTATGTAAGAATACAATACATTAGAGTAATATACGAAAACGAAAGGTCACTCATTCACTCACTGACCAAACACGAAATCTCGATAGCTACTTGACCTTTGAAGTTGAGATTTAGCAGGTAGGTAGTTTATAAATAGCAGACGTTAGTGAATATGAGAGTATAAAAAGAAAGTCTAAAGGCTATCTATCATAAGTTTTTATGAAATTCTTATGTTTTTTGTTACTATAGACATGCATAAAGATAGGTTATTCTAATTATACATAAAGCAAACATATGAGCAAAATAATACCGCTCTCTAATTTCTTACTTTTTCTTTTAATTATCATTTCTTAGAAAACCCGTCAACATATTGTATTTAATGACTACAAACTTGCTTTAAAAGATGTGCCTTTCCCAAGCAAACTGACAGACAGACAGTGTATACTGTATACTTAGCAGGTTTAATTACATATCCCCCCCAACGTGCGTTCACCTTGTCGTGGTGGGGGGGGGCTCAGAAGTGCCCAGCAATCCACCGGGCGCGAAGCCAAGAAACTCACAGGGAGGTGGCCCACTTCGGTGGGCGGTGGAAGGTGGCCCTGTTCGGTGGGCGGTGTACCATGCGGGTTGCTCCTGGTACTTCTCTGATAGCAGAGTGGACTTTGTAGCAACCCCATGGTTGTTGTGGTCTACTTCGGCAGACCTGCCGTCGGGGCGTCGTAGTTGAATGCGTAAGCGATCCTGCGACGCCCCATTAAGGGGGAAGGTTTTGTTGGGTTTTGGTAAGTAGTACCTACTGGCTTTGCCGGTGAATCCCACACCTCGTGCGTAAATGCATTTCCCAATGTTAAAAAAAAAGGTTTAATTACATATAGGGTTCTCACACTATTAAAAATTTCTATGGTAATTTTACAAAAATGTGTTAAATATATATTTTAAAAACAGTTCCTAATCTTACAAAACATCAAAGTTGTAAAAAGAATATAAAGTTTTGTAAACTTCAAACAAATTCATTAATTAAAATAATATTAATTACAATATTAGTTTGTGATTTTAGTTATAATTCTAATAAATGGAATCTCAAACAATGCTTGTAAATAAAGAACTTTCTTGATGGGCAACCGAAAAATTTTTGTAAAATTACAACACGTGTATGGTTTACACAAAAGATTTGTAAAATTACAATTATTTTTTTGTGATTTTCTTTACATATTTTGGTAAGTTACTTGATCTAAGTAGTAATATACGTTATATTGTAATTTTGCTTAACCATTGTTTTGTAAAAATATTGTAATTACACAAATAATTTTAACAGTGAATGGTTCGCATGAAATATTCTATTGCGCAAGTATTCGAGAATATACAAGTACACGCTTTTCCTTTCACTCTCAAACTCTGTCGGGACCACAATTTGATACGTTTGGTGAGAGATTAGGCGCAGTAATGACTTTAAGTGGCACGTGCTCTCCCAGGCACGTCCTCTCCGGACGATTACTGATAATTTTTTGACAGAAGCCCAATAGCTTGATCCGACCCAGAATCGAACACAAAACCATAAATTAATATTTTATATTATGTTTTCCCATAACTTTAACCAAAGTCTTATTTATATTGGAAATTGAGTGATCTCATTTAAATTGTAAGCAGCCGTTTTATATTCACAACAACACAACGTGACAGTAAAAGTCTGAAATGAGCTTATAATCGTAAAATCCGTATTAAAAAGTTTCCGTGACACATTGGTATCAATGGTTTTTATGTCAATTTAAAGCTTAAGCCTTATGGAATATAACATGGAAACAAATAAATAAGCTTGAAATTATTAATTTAAAATCATAAATCTTTAAATCAATTATTATTATATGAAAATATATTATTTGTTTGAATACACTTATCACTGAAACTATCAATCCGATTTTAATTATATCCATATCATATTATAGGTTGTTAGAATAACCCGTTCGTCCCCATGACGCAAATATATCCTTATCCAAATTTCATCGAAATCTGTTCAGCAGTTTAAGCGTGTAAATTTAACAAGAATAAATTTATTGAGGATTGTTCCACGATAACACTTTATAGGTTGTCTACCATCAGGCTACGACTTAGGATTGAAGCAACCGTATAAAAAATGCGAGACGCTTCGCTCAGGTTCGCCTCTAGAAAAACAAAAACAAATCTATCCCACGGGAACCGTACATTTTTCCGGGATAAAAAGTAGTAGTCTATATGTTATTCTGATGTATAAGCTATATTATTGTAAAATCCATTTCGTAGTTTACATACATTCTTACAAACTTTCGCGTTTATAATATTAGTAGGATAGTAGGATACCCTCCGTTTCATTTGATATGCATATCATGGTGATGCATAAAAAAATATAGTCCACCATGTGGATTTAGAATGACGTCACTTAGCTAACCATGCATTGTCACCTAAACTAAACGTTTATGCAAAATTGCAGCTCACTCGGATGAGAATAACAGCTTTAAAATTCAGTTGCAAGATTTGACACCAACAAACATACATACAAACATAGGAAGTTAAATAAAAGCTTGTAAAACAGAATTGAATTAAGGTTTTAATGTTTTACATAACAATTTTAATATTAATATATAGAAAACGTAAGGTTTCAAATTATTCTAACTGCCTTATCATAACGTACAGACTCCCAGATCTCGCAAAAGACAAGACAATTTAATGCCCAGACTTAAGTAGCGTTGGTGGTTATATTTTATGTTTATTTATTTACTTTAAAATGACAAATTAGTCACTTTAGTAGTTAGATTATATGTAATATAGAACAATTACCATTTTACAACAATTTAGAATGACATCTTGTGTAAGCCCCATAATATGGTTTTGGTTAAAGAA